GGGTACTGGAAGCACCATTTCTACTGAAAGCGGGTAGGTTTGGCACCATCGTAAAATGGAAAATTGGTGAATGAAACCATCGTAAGCCAGGGACTGTCTGCTTGAAAGGTGCTCCTTTAGGGGGAGTATGCCAGATTCCATGCCCAAGTGTTTTCCATCTTCCAGTGAAAAACGTAAACATTTAAGGAATTCTCAGCAAATGTCTTTGCTTTTAAAATACTCATGGTCATTCCCAAGGAAGGTAAATTTTCCCAAAAACAAAACAACAAAAACCTCTACATGACTGGGCTCAGTGGTTCAGCCTGTAATCCCAGCACTTTGGGAGGCTGAGGTGAGTGGATTGCCTGAGCCCGCGGGTTCAAGACCAGCCCGGGCAAACTGGCAAGACCTCGTTTCTACAATAAATAAAAAATAACCTGGGCATGGTAGTGCATGCCTGTAGTTCTGGGTACTTGGAAGGCTGAGGTGGAAGGATTGCGGGAACTCAGCATGTTGACGCTAGGGTGGCTGTGAGTGTGCCACTGCACTCCAGCCTGGGTGGACGGAGTGAGACTCTGGCTCAAAAAAACAAAAATAAAAAACCTCTACACAAAGATCTTACAGAGTCAGAGATTAAATTTAAGTTTTTGAATCTGCAGGTGATTGAGTCCATCAGCAGTGCTACCTCTGGAATTGTAAATTTCTTGGCAGGGATAAGAGTGACGTTAAGCACAAGCTTACATTTTTATCAATATAAGGTGAGAAGGAGATTTCTTCAAAACCAATTTCTGCTTCAAAGCACTTCCAAGCACATAGCAAATGCCATCTTTAGAAGAATAATTCCCTGATTGTCTTAGTTCATTAGAATATGCCAGTCTCTTGATTCTAGACAACATACCATGTTTGCTTGCTTGTTTTAAAAAGGAAATGTCTTGGAACCTGATAATTTGGGGACTCTTCTGATGGCAAGCATTTCCTATCTTCCAGAAGTGTACTCATTTTCATCCATTCCTATTCTGATGCCTTAGCAAATGCAAAACAATGCCTTTAACCTCCAAAGCATAACCAAATGATCACCTGTGAACCTACCACCCAACCTGAGAAATAGAAGGGGAGCGCTGTTGAAGGCTGGTGTCCCTCTGACACACCGTCTCCCCTGCCTTCCTGATGTTCTGTGCTGTGTGGATCACACCCACGCTCTTATCATTTTACTACAATTATAACTAAGGGGGTACATTCAAAATTTGGTCTTTGAATTTTGAAATAGTATTATACTGCAAACATTCTGCTGCAACTTACATTTTCACTAAGCATGGTTTGGGAAAGTCTTCTGTGTTGAAATGAATAGCTCTATTTTAATCATTGTCGCTTCAATAAAGGGTTCCATAATGCGGATAAACCAGTTTATTGTCAGCTATCCAGTTCCTGGGCATATGCTCCCCTGATGTATATTCTTTTAAACATTTCTGGACTTGCCTCCAGTGCTTATACGCAAGGGTTTCTGTGTATGCTCTAGGAGGATTGATTGTTCACAGGATTGTCATTACACATATAAATATATATTATATACACACACAATATAAATATATAATGCATTATATAACGTTTTATATTTTTATATTATATATAACATGTATTATAAATATAATTATGTAATTCCAAAAAGTAGCTGTCAATTTATACTCCCAACAGTGTAAAAGTGATGTCTTTTAATTTCTTTGCCATCTAATGGGTTTACAAATTTTATCTCAACATGATTTAAATTAGCATTTCCTTAAGCATCCTTTTATATTAGTCATTTATATATACACATATACACATATACACACACACACACACACACATATATATATATATATATATTTTTTTTTTTTTTTTTTTTTTTTGAGTCAGGTTCTCATTCTGTGGCCCAGGCTGGAGTGCAGTGGCAGGGTCACGACTTAGTGTAGCCTCCTTGACCTCCTGGGCTCCGTCTTCTGTTAGATCAGCGGCGGCATGAGATTCCCATAGGAGCACGAACCCTATCATGAGCTGCTATTGTGAACAGCATATGTGAGGGATCTAGGTTGCACACTCTGATGCCTGATGACACCCCAGCCCCCTTCCCCCGTGGAAAAACTGTCATCCATGAAACCCGTCCCTGATGCCAGAAAGGTTGGGGACCACAGCATTAGCCCATGAAGAGACTAATGTATTCATGAGGGTAGAGCCCCAGGTCCCACCTCTCAATGCTGCCATGTTAGGGATTAAGCTTCACGTGCATTTTAGAGACATCCAGACCACAGCATTGACTTTGTCATAGGTCAAATTCCCATATACTGATGTTCTATTTCCGTGTTTTCCATTTTGTCAACCCATTTCACCAACTGTGCATGCAATATTGTCTATTATAGCTTTATAATAAGGCTTGATAAAAAGCAAATTAGGTCAACTCCCTTACCTTACCTTGTCTTTTCAAAAGTATTTTGGTTCTTTTTGGTTCTTTGCTTTCCCCTATGACTGTGTAATGGAAAACCCCATTGGGATTTAGCTTGAATTGGATTAATCTGGGAAAAAACCCACATCTTTATGATATTGAGCCTTCTTATTCTAGAACCTATTTACTTATATTTTTGTTATTTTTATTGCTATGTTTCATTCAAGTTTAAAAATTTTTTTAAGTTCTTTCATGTCTCTTATAAACTTTTCATAAATGTTATTGTTTATTGCTGGTATGTATAAATGCAACTGCAAGCATGCCATATAAATTCTATTAATTTAGCCGGGCTCAGTGGCTCAGCCTGTCATCCCAGCACTTTGGGAGGCCGAGGCAAGTGGAATGCCTGAGCCCCATAGGTTCAAGACCAGTCGGGGCAACTTGGCGAGACCTCGTCTATACAATAAACCAAAAATTAGCCAGGTGTGGTAGTATGTGCCTGTAGTTCCGGCTACTTGGAAGGCTGAGGCGGAAGGATCACTGGAGCCCAGCAGGTCGAGGCTGCAGTGGCCGGGAGCGTGCCACTGCACTCTAGTCTGGGCAACAGAGTGAGACTCCAGCTCAAAAAAAAAAAAAAAGAAAAAGAAAAAAGAAAATTCTATTAATTCTTGTAATTTATCCATAGAGTCTTTGGTTTTCTACATAATCTATACTAATAAACAGCTCATTTCTTTCTTCCTACATTAGTTATCTATTGGAACATAGCAAATTAACTCAAACGTAGTGGCTTAAAACAACATGCACTTACTATCTCAGCTTCTGTGGGTTTCCTGTTAAGAGCCTCACAAGACTGCAGTCAAGGTGACAGCCAGGATATGATCCTTTTTGAAAGGTACTATCCTCTTCTAAGCTCAGGTGCTTGTTGGCAGGATTCAGTTACTTGAGGCTGTGGAATCGAGGTTCCTGCTTTGTCACGGGCTGTCAGCTGGGGGCTGCTCTCAGCTCCCAATGGCCCATGAGGTTCCTTGCCACCTGGCTCATTCAAAGGCCCATGACAAAATGACAGCACATTCCAGTCTGCTAACAAGAAGTCTTACAGAACGTAATGCAATCACAAGTGACCATTCCATTGTGTTAGCCATATAGCAAGATTCAGTCAAGGGGGTGACCACTCCATCCCCTTAGCCACCCTCATCTTTTGTTGGAAAGCAAGTCTCAGGTTCCACCCACACTCAGAGAGGGCATGATACCCTGAGGGTTGCCACTGGGTGGATGTCCAATCCTACGAGCTTTTGTTTTTCTTGCTATACTGCATAGGCTACATGCTCAGTACACTGTAAAAATCATGACAAGAACTGTCTCACTTTTATTTATCATACTAAAGAAAATCGCTTAATGATTCACCACAAGGCAAAATCCTTGCTGCAGGCTTTTTGTAAATGCCACTTATCAGATTAACAAAGTTTTCGACTACTCCAAGTTTTTTAAGATTTCTTATAAATTATAAATAGCTGCTAAGGCTTATAAAACCTTTTTTTCTTGCATCTTTTCAGCTGATTATCTTTCTTCTTCCAATGTTAAACTACCCTTAGAATAAACTAAACTTGACAACAATTTCTATTCATTATTAAATTTTACTATTTTGTTTTGCAAGTTCCAAAAGTATCTTCATGATTGAGGGTAACTGTTTTTATTCTAGTCCCTTGAAATTAATTGGGCAGTGTTCCTTCTTTCTCTATACTTTGGAAATATTTATTTAAGATACGTATCATTTTCTTCCTGATGTTCACTGGAACTCTCCTGAAAACTTGCCTGGGCTTAGTGTTTATTTTCTGGGTGGGAAGATATCAAAATACCAATCCAATTTCTTTAATGGTTACCCAAGTTTTCTTTTTTTTTGAGTTGGAGTCTCACTCTATCACCTAGACTGGAGTGCAGTGGCCGGGAGCGGCCACTGCAGCCCCGACCTGCTGGTTTTTTGATTTTTTTATTGTAGAGATGAGGTTGCGCCAAGTTGCTCAGCCAGGTCTTGAACTCGCGGGCTCAGGCAATCCACTCACCTTGGCCTCCCAAAGTGCTGGGATTATAGGCTGAGCCATCGAGCCCGGCCCCAAGTTTTCTTTTAATATTATTATAATAGCATAGTTTTGAGTAACTTACCCATACATTTTCAAATTTGTTGCCATGAGGTTGTTCATAATAGCCTCTTGAAAAATAAATCTTTTAATCTTTATAGCATTGATAGTTTACTGTGAAATATAAGTAAAATATAAGTATGTATACATGTAAATAAATAAAAATACATATGTATATATAAACATATAGTCTGTGCATATAAACTTGTCTGTAAATTATCTCATCTGCTATAAAATAGTTCTCTGATACCATCAGATATATGGCTAGTATTTCCAAAGAAGTACAGCTCCTGAATAAAAAGAAAAGGGTAAGGGGGAGTCTTAAACCTGTTACTAACTCTCAAATATTCTCTTGAACCTACAAATGTTCATGACTTTTCTCCACGCAAGAACACTTTTCAGTTGCCATCCTATTTTTTAAACAATTAACATTTATACCAGTCAAATCAAATGCAATAATCAACATAGTATAGAAAAACTCTAGCAGAAGTATTTTATTTGGTTATAATTTATCCATCTTGAATAGCCCGAAATGGAAATTTCCATGGTCTTAACTAAACTGGATGTTATTTTCTTTTAGAATGTCCTTTTTTTCATCAAAATAATTTCTAAACCACTCGATATGCTCCACTTTCTGTTTAACACTCAGATAAGAGTTTCTGGAAAGGCCACAGGTCACCAGCTCCATGAAATGGCGGATTGGTCCTTGTTTTGGAAAATCCTCCAGGTATTTATCCAAAAATATATGTTCATGAAATTCTGAACCATCATCATCAAAACCTAGGCAAGGACACAAAATATATTACGTTATATTTTAAAATGTAAAACCTATATCACAACATTAGTATATAATGTATATTATATTAGTATATAATACTAGGTAAAGGCATGAACGTTAGAGTCAAGTCTAGCTATGGTTGCCCACCAATTTAAACACTGTGACTCTGGACAAATCCATTAACTTCTTTGAGTGTCAGTTTCCTTAGGCATAAGATGAGTATTAAAATAGCATTTGCTGGAGTTTTTGTGGAGATTAAATAAACATAAAGCATGTAAAGCTCTTTTATAATCCCTAGCATATTGTAAACATTCAAAATATAGCAGCAACTGCTGTCCATGAAAATTTTAATAAATACAGCAACCACTCAGAAAACTAATATGATTAGATCAAGTAGACCAAGAGTCTTTTTAGTTTAGAATGCACCAGGAAGGCATCATGACTAGATCCTTTCTGAATGAATCAATGAATGAATAACAGCCAAGTGGTACTGGCATGTGTAAAGCAAAGGAAAAAAACAGAGTAATAAAAGGGCATAAACTTTGTACAAAAATAAATTCTAGATAGAGTAAACAAAAAAAAAAAGGCAAATAGATCTGACTATGCACCAATTAAATCTCTGTTCATGAAAGCCATTCTAAACAGAGTTAAAAGATAAGTAGCAAGGACTTCTTAAACGGTGGTAAACTGAATCTGTGCTTCAATTTCTGCTCCCTTGTGACAGCTACTAAATGGCAGTTAAATAAAAATTACAAAAGCACAAAGATAAAGAGAAAAAACAGACAGGAGACGGCAGCAAAATTTTAAAGACAGAAAGTGCACATATTAGCAATGACTTAGCAGAGTGGAAGATGCCACCATCTAAATCTGCAAAAGGGGAGACAGTCAGAAGCAAACAGGCGTCAAAAAGCTTCAGATTAGAGATGCCAGGTACCACTGAAGTTAGGAGTGGGGATGAGGGATAAAAACCAGGAGGACTAATTGTAAATTGGTTTAGGGGCTGGCTAGCTCTCCTGTGGTCCATCTCCCACCTGCACCTCGAGATAACTGCACTCCTCCATTCCCAAAGAGGATGGGAAGAGGAAAGAGGAAATAAGACCTTGGGGTAGATGAGAGGAGAACTAGGGGAAAGTCCACATGCTGAATGATGAAACACCCCTCGGGCCCAATCCTTTTCGTCTCCCAGTTCCCAGAGCACAGCCAAGGCCTATGACCTCAAGTCAGGTGGTTGGAAGATTCTCACTGGAGAAACTCAATGAGAAGAATTCTAAATATTAAGTTTTGGAAGTCCCAGATGAAGAGGTTTCTTCATTCCTCCAAAATGAAGCCTCCAGTTGACAAGCCCCACCTATTCATCACACACGTCTAATAAAAAGCTTTCTGCAACCACATTCTCATATATAAAAAATCATTCAAAGAGTGCAGACATTTAAGAAAGTCCAACTTACGTGACTGACGCTATGACAGACACCGATACCTATCTATCAAAATTCATTTTTTTAAATCATGGTAAAAGAACTAAAAATCTGTACAAGGGTGTTCAGCCACATGACATTTTCCAGCCCCCTTCGGACTAGGCATGGCTATATTATTAAATTTTTACCAGTGGAATCTGAACAGAAGTGACATGTGACATTTTCAGTCTGGAGCCTTTAAGACAGCGAAACTGCTTACACTGTGTTGTCTTTCCTCGTCTGGAAAGCCTGAGCACAATGTTTTTGTGAGCCATCTTTAATCAAGCAGATGAGAAAAGCGTCCTATCAAAGGAAGAGAAACAAGATGGAAGAAACTTGGATCCTTGGATGATTGTGTGCATATACTTCCAGTCGCTTACTAGTCTGGAACTTGAACTATTATAGCAAATTTCTATCCTGTCTGAATCACTGAATTTATAGGATTTCAATGAAACACATTCAAAAATAAAAGGAAACTTTGAGGAAACCAGCGGAATGTAGGTATCAGAGGAAATCTAATTAATATGGACACTACCACAAAAGAGTTTAGAAGTTAAAAATATGGTACAGAAAAAAACAAACAAACAAACAACCCAACAGAAAGATTATAAGATAGAAGCTGAAGGTTTCCAGAGCATAAAACCAAGAAAAAGATAGGAAGACCTGAATTATAAACCAAATAAGCAAATAAAAATTCTCCAGAACTGAAAAGTAAAGTTCCCAGATTAAAAGGCCCAATGATGCTTAGAAAAATGATTTTAAGCACATAAAATCCCTTAACAAGAATCATCACCCCGAAACTTAGGACTATTATAAAGAGAAGACACTACAAGTTACCAAAGAAAATATACAGAGGCTGGGCTTGGTGGCTCAGTCTGTAAACCCAGCACTTTGAGAGGCTGAGGTGAGTGATTTGCCTGAGTCCACGAGTTTGAGACCAGCCCGGGCAATTTGGCAAAATCTCATCTCTACAATAAATAAAAAATTAGCTGGGTGTGGTAGCATGCACCTGTAGTTCCAGCTACTTGGAAGGCTGAGGCGGAAGGATCGCCAGAGAACAGCAGGTCGATGAGTGTGCCACTGCACTTCAGCCTGGGTGACAAAGTGAGACTGCGATTCAAAAAAAAAGAAAAACAAGACAAAACAAAAAAGAAAACAAAGAGATAGGTTGGGCACGGTGGCTCACTCCTGTAAGCCTAGCACTTTGGGAGGATTGCTTTAACCTAGGAGTTCAAGTCCAGCCTTGGCAACATAGTGAGATCTCATCACTAAATAAATTTAAAAAAAGAAAATAAAAGATTATATATAATACATCTTGGATAAGAATGAAAGAATGCTTTCAGCATTCTCTGTAACACAATATAGTGGAGCAATGCTTCAAAATTATGATATAAATTTATCTTCAATCTCAAATTTTATACTATTAAGTATAAACTATTAAGTGAATGCCAGGACAGAACAAAGATATTTTTATATATATGAAGGGTCTCAAATCTTTTACTTTCCTGTATTTCTTAGGATGACATTGGAGTACATGCTCCACCAAAACAAAGAGATTAAAGAGAAGAAACCATGTGATAGCAAGAAAGGGTATCCAACATAGGAGAGAAGACAGGAAATCCCAGGGTGAGGGGAAAATGAAGTCACAGGAAGGCAGTCATGCCGGAGGTCTGGGGAAAGATCCCAGCTACAAGCAGAGCTCCAGGTATCCAGGGACAAAAACCTCCATATGACTCCGCAATCCCCCTACTGGGAATATATCCTGAAGAACTGAAATCACTCTATAAAAAAGATACCTGCACATGTATGTTTATCGCAGCATTGTTCACAATAGCAAGAACATGGAAGCAACCATGCTGCCCATCAAAAGAGGACTGGATTAAAAAAATGTGGTACATATATACGATGGAATACTACGCAGCCATAAAAAAGAACAAAATCATGAATTTCACAGCAACCTGGATGGAACTAGAGTCTATAATACCGAGTGACCTCTCACAGAAACAAAGATCCGAGTATCACATGTTTTCACTCATATAATGGACCTTGAACATCCAATGTAATACTATAAGAAAATGACTGACAATAGGGGGAAACTATGGCGGGGGAGGGAGATGGGATTAACGGTAGTAAACATCTGTCTGGGGCGGGGAAACACCTCTTATCAACAGGGTGCCTGAATGAAACGCATTTGTATACCTAACCTTTAACTGTACCACACAATATCATAATAAAAAATATTGATTAAAAAAAAAAAAAAGAAAGTCCACAGATTTTCTAATACTTTTGAGCATGTGAATTTGGGGGAGTCATAAGGAACACAGAAAAACCTATCTAAGCAAACGGGAAGAAAAATAAAGGAACCGTTAACCTTGGATGGGGGCATGGGAACGAGAAGGAAATATTCTCACAGCACTTGATCTGTCTCAGCATTAAACCATTTTTCATGGTCACACTAATGTAAACAAGGTATATGGAGCTAAAAAAAGTATGATATCGCTATGTTGGGAGGATGAGATGATATATAGACTAGATAATGTCCAAAACAGATAGCATGTAATTTAGGAATATAAAAAATAAAAGAACTAAAATATTAAAAGAGGTTGGCTGAGAACTAATCTAAGAGGTAAAACAAAGAATTGCTTTATGTTATAAGCCTTGTGTTTTATATTATAAGCTTTTATATTAAGCTAACTGTTTACTATTTTTAAAAATCAAATTATTTTAAAAGAAGGAAAAGTGACAGATTGGGAGAAATATTTCTAACATAGGTAAGAGTTTAAGAATTAAAGTCCAAATGTAACAACTAACCCAACAGAAACAAAGCATGTAAAGAGGTAAGCCACAGAGGAAATACACATAGCTAATAAACATGTGACAAGATGTGTAATCTGGTTAGCAATCAATCAGGAAATGGAAATAAAAACACCAATGATATTGTTTTTGTTTTTTGTGCAGACACAGGTTAATTCCGTGTCTAATTCTGTTTTAAATATTACTGAATACAGTTAAAAAATATGGTGCAACAAATAAAGGGTAGAATCCTGCGAACTGCAATGACCAATTCTTTGTGACAAGGGCATGTTAAGAGCACTGAGGCAAATGCAGCCACTTTCACTCTGAACGGCTTTTACTTTCATGTATTGTCACAATTATGACTTCTTTTCCTGTTGGTACCTTGGGGCTCTTGTTTACAGGCCATACTTTCTTATAAACCACAGCAGACCTTGCTGTCTCCAGGTAGCACATGCCTAGCCATCTTTTTTTTTTTTTTTTGAGTCAGAGTCTCACTCTGTTGCCCAGCTGGCTCCAGTGATCCTTCCACCTCTGCCTTCCAAGTAGCTGGAACTACAGGTGCATGCCAACACACCAGGTTAATTTTTTGATTTGTTGTCAAGATGAGGTCTCGCCAAGTTGCCCAGGCGGGTCTCGAACCCGCGGGCTTCCAAAGCGCTGGGATTACAGGCAAGAGCCACTGTGCCTGCCTTCCCAGTCATCTTTACACACTCCTCCCTTTCCCCACACTAGCCTGGCCCGCATCACAGAGCCCTCCTCAGGGTTTCATGGTCATCTGAACTTTCCTAACTATTCTTGTTGGCTCCCATCACAGCACACATTCCAGACCCCAGCAAAGAACAGGAGTGGATAAGATTCAACCCAATAGAGAATAGAAACAAACGTGTGATTAGCATCGATCCTGCACTGTTCTGTCCACTGAACCTCTACATTGAGAATTACCCTTGGGAAGCATTTCAAAAACAGCCTGAGAAAGACTGTGCCTGGTGGGATAAAATGTGATTACATTTAGTGAAAATCAAAGTCAAAGCTAACATAATAATGACATTATTAATCCAATATGTAAAGCTATGACAAAATCTAAATGAGAGCAGTTCCACCAAACAGCTCTTGTAAATCTCCATGCAGGCAAAGCACGAGTGAAGGAACAAAGCAGTTCTTAAGACAAAAACAGAAAAAGCTACTCTGACTTGAAAAAATGATTTAAACACGTTAAGTGGCAAAACAATAAGGCTTGATTTTTTATGTAGTGGAAAAACACAATACTGGGAAGTAGATTGTAAAATAGGACCTGTCATTTTGTCATTTTCAGTATTAAGTTCCAACACTGACGCGGTGAGCCACTAAAAACAAAGCGAAACATCTTTCCCCAAAAGCATCAAAGTAAATCTTCATAAAGTTCATTATTAGTAGGGAAAGAATGATGTTTCACTAATCTTCAGGTTTAAGTATAAGAAATAGGAAAGAAAGTTATTGGACTATTGAGGTTCCAGGTAACAATGCCTGTCTCTCAAAGTATTCAGAAGTTTCTAAGTATGTCCAGAGGAAAGGGATCAAAGTGAGAGTTTCCATGGTTCTTTCCTGGTTCTGCTACAGATGACAATTGCAGTAAGGAGTTTGAAATGAGTCACCTCCTTCTCCAATGTTGTAACAACAATATTATCTACAGTGCTATAGTGTCATATGGACACGTGTCACATTTATCTCCCCCACCTGACCCCCAAAAAATTAACATAAATTCTCCTGAAGTTTGGACACACAAAATGCCGATGAACTTACGTATTTCACCGTTGATGAGAGAGTACCACCAACTCCTGCCTTTCTTGCACCCTCTTTGGAGGTTCTTAGATCATACATATCACCCTTGCTAATATTGAAGATTTGAAAATGTTACAGTGTAGCAGAGAAAATAGTTACAGTGGCAAATTCCCTCACAATATTGTTGTTGTAGATCAGGGAGGCCAATGGTGATGATTTACTCATTTTACCTCACCGATTCCTCACAAGAATCTCGTAAAATAAGTCCTTTTATGATTCCCACTATTTTAGACATAAAGGAAGCAAGGCTTAAGGGGATAAAGTCTGTAACTCACTCAGGAATGGGAACTCCTAACCACTATGCTTCACAGTCTCTCCTGAGTATAGTCACATGTTATTATACCTAGGTTTTTAAATCATATATATATATATATATATATATATGTTTTTGAGTTGGAGTGTCACTCTGTCGCCCAGGCTGGAGTGCAGTGGCACGCTCCCGGCCACCGCAGCCTTAACCTGCTAGGCTCAGATGATCCTTCTGCCTCAGCCTTCCAAGTAGCTGGAACTACAGGTACACACTACTCCGCCCAGCTAATTTTTTTTTTTTTTTTGATTTATTGTAGAGATGAGGTCTCATCAAGTTACCCAGGCTGGTCTCAAACCCATGGGCTCAGGCAATCTTCTCACCTCAGCCTCCCAAAATGCTGGGATTATAGGCGTGAGTCACCGCGCCCGGCCTTTAATCACATTTTTAACCATGGGGACTTGGATCACCCTAGTTTCATCAAAGAATAAAACCCACAGATGTTGTAGGAGTAAAAAAATAAAACAAAATAAAACCCACTTTCCTTAATATCATTAATATCAGATTATCCGTTATTAGTTTTTTGCTCCTTTGAAAATTCTATGATCGTACGCAAGGAGAAAGAAGCTAATATTTATTCATATGTATTGAACGCCAGCTGTGCTAAACAACTCAATAATTTTATCTTATTTGTTTTCACATTCTTCCACTGAGGCATTTTTGATTTTACAGATGAGGAAACTGAGGCCCAGGAGGTTAAATAATTTCCTTAAAGATAAATGGCTAATAACTGACCTAACTTATATCTGTACTCTGGTTTGCACAACTAAGAAGTTTTTGGTCTTTTTACCTTACCCTGATACCTTCCAGAACACAAAAACCAAATACTTTAAGCAACAGACATGTCATATAACAGATGAAACAGAGCATGTTATATTACTGCATATGTAATAGGAATGGGAATTTGCTCAAATATTTGTACGCCTCTAAAGTTTTCCTATAGAAAGTAAAACTTTATACTAATTATATTATTTGGTTAGAAGACTATCTCTGATATGTAACGTTCCATTCCACCTATTAATCAAAACAAATAAAACAAGGTCATCAAAAATTAAATACTAGTGACCTCATAACACCATAAAGGTTAAAACATGGAAGACATTTTCCCAAGACTTACTTAGGTGTTTGCAACTTCCAGTTAATCCGACCATAAAAGTAAATAGATCTTTTCTAACTGAAAATACATCTCTAAAATTCAATTAAAAGTATTTAACTGATGACAAATGGGTGTCATAAAAAATAAATACCACAGTCATACTATTTTTCTTTTGATTGAGGAAGAGGTAACATCTCCAAAAAACACTCAGGAAAACAGATAATATGCTAATGCCAGTTCAAAGCATCTACATTGTGCAGGGAAAGATCTTCAAAGTCTCCTAATGTGTTTGTTTTCAGTGGCTCACGTAAGTAAACTTGCACTTCATCAATGCAGTGGTTTTATGACTGAAGGACACAGGCATGTGACTTTAGAGCGGGAATGTTCTAGCACTTACCCACTTCGTTGTCAATTGGGAACTCCCACAGTTTCCCCTCTTTTGTCCAGTGCATCATCTCTTCAAACCCATTCTGAAAGGGTTGTTCATTTATTGCGACCAACCGCTTAGCAAACTCCACATCCCAAAGTGAAGGTGATGAGTCTGTGTAGTGAAAACATTTTAAATAAGAAGTCAGTGTAAATATCTTCTTTTACAAAAAAGTTATAATCAACTCTGAATCGATCTTATATTTTTCGTACCTTCATATTCAGAATTAAACTGTATATAATATAAGGTCACTCACTAAGTACTATCACTATAACAAAATGATATATAAAGACAATAATGACATTAATAGTAAGCTTAAATTTGTTTTACTACTATGCCAGGTAATCGCTGCCCCCTCTACTAGAGAGGAAAAAATAAATTTATATTTTGTTTATGGTTTTTTTTTTTTTTTGAGTTGGAGTCTCATTCTGTCACCCAGGCTGGAGTGCAGTGGCACACTCACTGCCACCACAGTCTTGACCTGCTGGGCTCAGGCGATCCTTCCATCTCAATCTTTCAAGTAGCTGGAACTACAGGTGCATGCCACCATGCCTGGTTAATTTTTAAAAATTCATTATAGAGATGAGGTCTTGCCATGTTGCCCAGGCTGGTCTTGAACCCCTGGGCTCAGGCAATCCTCTTGCCTCTGCCTCCTAAAGTGCTGGGATTACAGGCATGAGCCACCGTGCCCAGTCTATGGGTGTTTTTAGGAATGTGGATTTCTTTACACAATATATGACTTTGAACTTCTATGTTTAGCCTGTTTATTTTTAGTTTGTCAGAATTAGTTACCAATGTACTACTGTTAAACACCAAAGAAATTAATAAGATTAACAGAGTAATAATAAAAATGATAAAACTACTAAAGAATCATTTAATCCTCATATCCAACTCTATAAGTAAGGTATTACCATGATGGCTTATTACCACCACCATATGACATGTTTTACTTTTGAAATTTAAGACAGCTTTCAAGAATGGGTCATATTATCACCAGTTACTACTGTTGGGAATATAAAATGGTACAACCACCTTGGAAAACAATTTGACAGTTTTTTAAAAAGTCAAAAATACACCTATTATTCAACACAGTCATTTCACTCGGAATATTTACCCAAGAGAAAAGACAACACATGTCCACACAAAGACTTGTACATGACAGTTCATTGTAGCTTTCTTCATAAGAGTAAATCTGAGCTGTAATTTGGGAAACAACCCAAATGTCCATAAATGGGTGAATGGATAAAAAAAAGTAATTCATCTATAAAATTATAGACTACTCAGATTACTGAGTAATTAATTTAATTTTATTACAAGCGCTTTACTGGCAATAGAATGGGTACGTCTCAAATCATTATGGTAGTCTCAAATCATTATGGTGAGAAGTCAGATGCAAGAGGGCACATCTTGTGTGATTTTAGTTACATAAAATTCTAAGAGGTGCAAACGAATCTACTGGAACGAAAGCAGATGATGGATGCCTGAAGACTGTATGTATTGCAAAGGGACACAAGGAAACTTTTGAAGGTGATGGGAATAATTAGTATGTTAACTGGCAGTTTCATGGGTGTATACATTTGTCAAAATATATCTAATTACATAACTTTAAATGTGTAGTTTGTTGCATGTAAATTATACCTTGATAAAGTTATTTAAAGAAAACAAATATCCCATATCTATGTCTTAGCCACATTTTCCCCTAATTTTTATTCTTTAGTTATTTTTTTCAAACTTTTTGATCTTTCTCATTTCTTTTTTCTGTGTGATTTTGCCTTTTAAAATAAATTAGGATCACAGTTTGGTGACCTGTTTTTTTTCATTTAATGGCTACATCAATATTCCATTATACAGATGTATCATAATTAATTCCTTACTGTTGAATAGTTTGATCATTTACATATTTTCTCTTTTAAACACTGTAGTGATGAATGCCCTTGTAGTTACACCGTTGTCCATGTCTGTAATTTAATTTCCCTAGAATAAATTCCTAGAAACAAAATATCTGGGTTAAAGGCAGAGATCATGCACAATTTATTCTCTAGCCTTTTTACCCACTTTTGCCAAGTCCACAGAGTGGCCCAACAAATAGTTCATTTACTAGTCTACCTAGATAAGTCTTATTTTATCTACATTGTTTTTCTAAATCTGTTTCCACAAGCCTTTATGTGCAGGAGTGTGTCTAACCACACACTGACTGATACATATTTAAGTATGTTGGCCTGGTCTAGATCATCCGATAGTGAGAAAAGACGATAGCAGTTAGGCATTAATTGTCATATTTACAGAGCAATCATAACAGTAAGAAAACTTAATTATTTCAGTTTAATTTTTATTTATTCAGAGGACACTGATTGACCTGTGTATTTTCTATCATCTTATTATTGTTTTTATTATATATGCTAATAATTGTTACAAGCATTTTTTTAAATGTCTGCTGTGTTACAGACACTGTACCTGATATTTTCCCCAGATTGTCTCTTTCAATTCTTCAGATGTATGTACTAGTTCTCATTTTACACATGGGGAGAGGGAGACTCAGCGGGGCTAGCATGGAAAAACCTGAATGTGAATCCAGATTCCCCAACACCAAAACTCTTTCCCTTAAGCTAGACTGCCTGATGACTCCATGTTATGCCAGGATAACCAGTGGGGCCTATGACCATATTCCTGGCAGCAGTGGTAAGAACTTCGTGAGGAACAAGATGTGGGAATCATGGAACAGAATAACTCATTCATTTAGTCAATAATCACTAAAGGCCAACTATATTTCAGACATTATTTCAGGTGGTAGGAAAACAACAGTGAAGAGCAGCTAAATTTAAGTTTCCGCATTGTTGCTATTCTTGTATTTCACTGAGAACAAAAGACATTCTTTAAACTCATTCAAGTACAGCTTACTAAAACAGTACCAACAGTAAATTATTACATGCACTTGTGTGTTTTCTTCATTACAGTATAATCATTTAATAACATGTTATGAAATACATAATATGTCAATGTTTCCTTGCCAGCTAATTTCAGTTTTAGAAAAAAAATTTTTAATTAATTTTTTTTTTTTTTTTGAGTTGGAGTCTCACTGTGTCTCCCAGGCTGGAGTGCAGTGGCACACTCATGGCCAAAGCAACCACCATCTGCTGGGCTCAAGCGATCCTTCCACCTCAGCCTTCCAAGTAGCTGGAACCACAAGTGTGCAACACCACGCCTGGCTAATTTTTTGATTTATTGTAGAGACAAAGTCTCACCAAGTTGCCCAGGCTGGTCTCCAATCCCTGGACTCAGGCAATCCTCTCGCCTCCGCCGCCCAAAGTGCTTACAGGCGTGAGCCACCGCACCTGGCAAAATTTTTGATTTTTAAAAGTAAGCCGGTTCCTTCAAGAATCCAAGTATCTCTTTTGGCTGGAAAATAGCAGCTGCTCTGACAACAAACTCACTGCTGAGGCAGTTTAACAGAGACCTCATGAACAGGGGAGAGGGGATTCATTCTCCACGTCTATGAATGTTGCATTTCCTTTTCATCATACAAGGCAGAATGCACTTCCACAATACACGAAGGGGTTATTTTTTGAGATTCATCTTCCATTCAAATGAACAAACATGGATTAAATGAATTCCTTTTCTGCATGAATATATATTTCATAGCTCAGTTTGTTCAATAAAGAACTTCGGATTTAAGATAACTAAATCCTATTACCTGTAAGCCACTTGACCCAGTACTGCAGGGTATACAAACATGAATGAGACCTAGCCCCTTATGTCAAGGGGTTTATCAAATAGTGGTAACATTAGATGTTTAGATAAGTAACTGGCAGAAAGTTTAAAGAGCCATTGGGAGTTGGCCTGGGAACCTAATTCACATATGATATTATTCCTACCAAGATCCAAAAAACTAACTTGTATTCTTTAGATATTCATTCTTATAAGTTGGAGCCCATTTGTATTGAGCTTATTCTTTCAAAAAAAATTTTAAAAACATTTTAGAGATGAGGTCTCATTATGTTGACCAGGCTGGTCTCAAACTCCGGGCCTCAAGTGACCCCCTACCTCAACCTCCCAAAGCTCTGGGATTACTGGTGTAAGCCACTGCACCCAGCCAAGTTAATTCAGTTTTGGGGGGGGGGTTGAGTTGGAGTTTCACTCTTGTCACCCAGGCTGGAGTGCAGTGGCACGCTCATAGCCACCACAGCCTTGACCTGCTGGGCTCAGGCGACCCTTCTGCCTCAGCCTTCCAAGTAGCTGGAAGACACATGTCACCAAGTCCAGCTAGTTTTTGTGATTTATTGTAGAGAGAAGGTCTCACCAAGTTGCCCAGGTTGGTCTTGAACCCCCAGGCTCAGGCAATCCTCTCACCTCGGCCTCCCAAAGTACTGGGATTACAGGCTAAGCCAACGCACTCAGTTGTTAATTCATTTTTATCAGTAAACTAAATTTGTGTCAAGCAAGAGAACACTAGTATATCTCTTTTAGACTTAAAATGTTAAATTTGAAGGATTTGACTTCTTACCTAAATAAGAAAAGGAAAAGAGGAGAGAAAAGAGGCTAAGCACATGTAAAGGAAAAAATACTACACAGCTCTTAAAGGTATCCCATGAATATTCTTTCCATCTCCTGAACAATCACTAAATCACTTCAATAAATTGTTTCAGCTGGGTACGGTGGCTCATGCCTGTAATCCCAGCACTTTGGGAGGCAGAGGCGAGAGGACTGCCTGAACCCAAGGGTTCGAGACCAGCCTGGGCAACTTGGTGAGACCTTGTCTCTACCATAAATAAAACAATTAATTAGCCAGGCATGATGGTGTGTGCCTATAGCTTCAGCTACATCAAAAGTTGACGTGGAAGGATTGCTAGAGCCCAGCAGGTCGAGGCTGAGGTGGCTGTGAGAGTGCCACTGTACTCCAGCCTGGGTGACAGAGTGAGACTCTGACTCAAAAAGAAAGAAAAAGAGAAGTTGTTTCCATAAATTCGATTTCTTCTTCTACATAGGCAACTGCCTATGGCAGGAGCCAGAACATATTTTTATGTAACAATACAGAGATACACTGCAAATGGTAGGTAATTATTAGCATTCCAATCCAAACGAGTAGCCAATCTATACCTGTGGGCTCACGTAACTGGGAATATTTACCTCCCATTGTCTCGCAGAATGTGACATTTCAAGGGGAAACCTGACCACAACTAGCAATGTCAACAGCTATATTCACAAGCAGGATCCAGGCCAATGACAGGAAGGAATATTTAAATATCTAGCTACTATACCTCCAAAACACCATGAACAGCTTTGACTGGGCTAGGTACAGTGGCTTACATCTAGAACCCCAGCACTTTGCAAGGCTGAGTGGAAGAACTTCTTGAGCCCAGGCTAGGCAACATAGCGAGATCTCATCTCTACAAAAATAAAAATTAAAAAAAGGTAGCTGGGCATGGTAGTGCGTGTCTATTGTCCTGGCTTATTCAGGAGGCTAAAGCAGGAAGATCGTCTGAGCCCAGGAGGTCAAAGCTGTAGTGAGCATCACTGCACTACTCTAGCCTAGCTGACAGAGTGAGACTTTGATTCAGAAAAACAAAAAACAGTAAGGACAGCTTTGAAAGATGGAATGCTTCTTCTCCTTCTCAGGAGAAAATAGTGTTATTCTTTTTTGAACAAACCTGTTTCAGGTGCTTCTTCAGTAACTGCCTTCGTGTAAAAAATATTAAGTTTCTTCCCCTTGAACATATTTTTCCTGAGACTAAAAAGAGAAAATAGTATTTTAATGAATATATTTATAAACTGTCAACAAAAAATTGTGAGAAAAATTTTACATAAACTAGTCTATGTGGAAATTAAAAATAATTCCGCTGACTCTCATCAGACATTTTAGCTAGGCTGTCACATTTTTAGGTCTGATGACCTAAAAACAGGAGCATATGCAGTTGAATTTTTGCTTCACAATACAACAAACCAGTTAAAGCAATTTAATCTCCAAAATGTCTAACTGAAAAGATTAGCTTAATTTGCCATAATATTATTTGATCCCTCTCAAATTAAGGTTTTAGAAAACTCAATGTTGTAAAAAAAGCCATCAAAACATGTTAAAATAGAAGATGCAAAAGTCAACATTTATATTTAAGGGCAGAAAACACAGCAATGTTTAATTACAAATTAAAATTATAAATGACTGAACAGACAAAAATCAAAACATTACCTTTTATAAAGTAACCAGTCTGCAAGTTTGAAGCAATTATTAACTTTTTTTACATAACTACTTTTAATTAACTATTGAAATTAGTGTTAGAGAGTTAATAGGTATCTTTTTGTATGCTTGATAATTAACTGATTTGAGCATCAATTCATATACATACTTGAGTAAATTTGTTGGCAGATTAAAAGTCTAGTTTATAAAGTGGAGGGTTAGTTTTTTAAAAAAATGATGACTAATTCTTCTGCTATGAACAAAATTCCTTTTTTTCTACTAAATAAAACTGACTGAAAAAAATGCTAGTACCATTTAAAGTTAAATAAAGTGTTCTCAAATCCTACAAGCTTTCCTGTAGCAGGTCCCAAAGTATTTGTAAACCAAGGCCTTTAAGAACTATCCTTGGGACTTCTGACAAGATGGCGGCGGGGCAACCTGGTCTGTGAAAACCTCTGCAAAGGAGAACTGCAGTGGGTCTCTGATTCTTGCCCCAGGGGCTACGGACACCAACATCGCAGCCTGCTCTTCATACGGAGCTCGGCCGTTGCCACCGCTGGGGCATCGCAGCAGTCTGGATAGCCACTGCAGCGCAGACACCGCTGCCGCAGCCACCACAGCCA